GGGGGGGGGGGGGGTGTTCTGCTGTGGTTTATACAGAAGGGTCTTCCTACAAGGCTGAAAGGTGTTTTTCACCTGCGGCTTTTGTTTCCTGAGGATCTGAAACCAATCGATGCATTTGAGAAAAAAAAAGATAAATCTTTAAATTATTGGGCAAAAACATTCCAGCCTCGCGTTTGGCACGATTTATCGTTTTCCACAAGAAGAACTGGACCGAGCGTCGTTTCCCACCCCCCGTCAGGCGCCACTCGACATGGAACGACTGTCCCTGAACTCCTAATCCCTCCAGCACGTGCTGCTTGTGCTGGTCTGTTTTCAGGATGTGTGTTTGTAACAAATCGACCTGTTCTGTTTTTGAAACTGTAAAATTGTAAAACGTTTTTAGAACTTAACTGTAGATCTTTTTTTCTTTGGGGGTTTTTATTGGACAACCAAATGGTTCATGTTGGACACCTGCTTGCAGATAAACCCTTGGAGCCGTTGCAGCTGCTCTTAGATGCTTCGGTGGATTTATATTTTTCTGCTTCCCTTCCTTCTCTGCCCTCGTTGTCCCCCCCCCCGCACGCTCAGACGTTTCCACTCTGCTGAACGGTGCACGCCTTCGCTCATGGCCACTTCACTCTTGTGCAGCACGAGCACACTCCATGGAGAGACACTGCATGGGACCTTCAGCTTAGTTCCATGTTGGTCTTCTGAAGCTCTGTCGGCTCTTTTAGGTTCGCTCAAAACCGGATAAAGTCTGGAAGCTGTGATGTCATCCGAGATGCAGTTAAACCTCAACAGTTCTGTGCATTAGAGACGAATCGCAGCCGATCAGCCAGTCGAGGACGTGACGACCTGTCGTTTGGATCTAGAAATGTTGGTTTGTGTTGAGGCACGGCTTCCAGCTCCAGAGAATTCAAACGGTACATCTGCCTCCATCAGATGTTTCGCCTCCTTCTGGTTCTTGTTCAAACCCCTGAAGACGCCACACGGGCCTAAAGCTGTCCAAATATTAGCTTATATTAGTTTCTTCAGACCCCCCCTCCCAGTGTCACAACAACGTTGTCTACAGCATCATGACATTCCACCAGATGTCGAGAAGCCGTGTTCATTTCTGTTCTTTCTCTGGGACATTTTTCGTGCACTGACATTTCAACGTATAAAACGATAAAACCACCTCCCTGTGCGTTTGTCCAGACGAACGAAGAGTCCGTTCTTCTCCCCAGGAAACTGATCCCCGCAGTAGTGAATGTGGCACCGAGCCTGTCTGTATATCTGGTATCTGAAACCATTTTGTTTTTACTGACCAGTATTCAGCTTAAAATAAAAAAAATACAAAATTAATCTAAAAAATTTTAAAAAGTCTGCTTCTGTGACGGTTTTGTTGCTTAGCGCGCACGTGGTTGTGAAACTAGAGTTAGCTTAAGGACACCAATAAAAATAAGAAAACTTTTAAGAAATTTTAAAAAAAAATCCCCCTTTGAGGACCCCCCTCCCCCCCAGTTATTGGCGTAATATTAGATTTGTGTATGTCTTTTAAAAAATAAAAAAAATCTGACTAGTTTCACTTTTCATGTTATGAACAGGACAAAATGTAAAAGACAATTTAAAGTGAAATAAAGATTTTATCAGTTCTGAATCAGCCCGACTCTGTTTGTTGTCGCCTGGTCCACGTGTTCTGGTTCTGTTGGGTCCAGTTGAGCTCCAGTTCTCACACAACCGTTGAAGTACCGTGATCAGATTCTGGGTTCAACTAAAGCAGGATGTAAGTTCTTGGTTTGGCCTTCACGATGGCCCAGACTGAAGAGGGTCACGTCTGCTCGTGGACACAGGAAGTCCACACGGCGGTCGTTTCTTCTCGTGTGGTATTTTTAGGAACACGTCGTTTCTCTGGACGTCATTTGGCACTAGTACCAACATGTGGTTGAGCTGCAGGGGCAACCTGGACATCACTCTCCCAGAGACTCCCAAGTTGTTCGTAGACCAGAGGGAACAAGTTCCAGGGTCTTCTCCCAGTGAGACGTCCAGATCTTCCTGGAACCATCAGACGACTTGAAGAGGCTGGAAGTGAGAGCTCCTTGTTCCATAAGAGCCTGGCCTGCAGAGGAGCCCCGTTCCAGCTGCTCGTTTCTGAGATCATGTTCAACCCCTCGTGACCACAGGTGGGGGCTGAGCGGTCAACGGACGCTTCACCTTCCAGCCAAGGGTGGCATCTCTGGACTGACGAGTTGGTGGCTCAAGATGTGGCCGTGTCTCGTGAAGCTGCAGATGTTCTGCACCTCCGCTCGTGTTGCCTTGCTTGATTTAATCTGCAGGACTTCTGAAATACCCGGCTGCTCATAAAATTAGACCATCATGAAAAAGTTATTTCAGTAGTTCCATTCAGTGAAACTTGTACATTATATTCATTCATCACACACACGCACTGATATATTTAAATGTTTACTACTTTTAATATTGATGATAACTGACAACTAATGAAAACTCCATGTGCCATCAGGGAAGAAAACATCCACAGATGGAACAACCTGGATACTCAGGTAGTCAGCTGACCTCATTCTTAGTAGCTGAACCTAGACCTGACCAACTGCAGCGACACCAGATCATAGACTGCCCCCACAGGCTTGAACAGTAGGACATTTCTTCCTGGAAGACGATGGGAGCCAGCCCACTATCCTTCCAGGTTTTAATGGTGCATTGGACAGTTCTAACAGCTGGAAGTGATGCTAACAGCTAGAGGTGTTGCTAACAGCTGGAAGTGATGCTAACAGCTAGAGGTGTTGCTAACAGCTGGAGGTGATGCTAACAGCTGGAAGTGATGCTAATAGCTAGAGGTGATGCTAACAGCTGGAGGTGATGCTAACAGTTGGAGGTGATGCTAACAGCTGG